TGCCGTGCTTCTGCTCTTTCCCCATTTGTGCAGGTTGTGCATGGTGGGAACCTGTCCACACCTCCACCGCAGGCACAGGCGCAGCTCGCGCCACCAGCCTGCCTTGACCCACGCGCGTGCACGCGCAAGGCGTGCCTTATAATCAGCCAGCTTGCCGGATTCAGTTCTGTATGATGCCGTTAGGGCTTTTTGTGCATCCAAGGTGGTGCGTCACGAGCAGCCTCTCATGATCTCACCCTGCCTTTGAGCGTTGCATCGTTGCCCTCGCTCTGTACTGGGTCAAATCTTAGCAGTGTGCTGCCTTGCCCAGCCCAGTCCTACAACGATCACATACTAGGCAGCCGATGTCAGTTACGTTCCAGAACCTCTTGAAACCCGGCTTCCTCGGACCTCGACCTCGGGCCGGCGCAAAATAATGATGATGCCAGAAGCCCAAACCCCCCGTTCAGTGTGCCTAAGCATCTATTATTAAGGCTCGCGTGCAAATCAGCACCCCAACCTCCGTATATTGGCAACTTGGCCGCAACACCTTGCAACATGGCTCAAGCTGCGCGCAGCGCGCTGGCGTTTCTGGTGCTGGGCCTGATCGTGATCGGCGCCCACGCCGCTGTCAACACCGTGCACCTCTCCCAGACTGCCGCGGTGAGCGCCCCAATCCCAGCCTGTGTTTGCTGAGTTGCCGTGGAACGAATGTCCTCTCTGCACCGCCTGCCCGTGGGCCCCGCCTCACTCGCTCGGTCTCCCTCCATCGTGGCAAACCGCAGGCTGACAACGTCAAGCAGAATGTGAACCTCCGGTCCAAGGCCGACAGAGTTGAGGGTGACATCACCCTGCAAGGAACCGTGAGCGGCTGGCAGGGCCTCGCGCGGCGCGGCTCGATGATTGCTGCACATACGTGCATGCACCTCCGATTGGGTCTTGCTCCTGGATGTGCAAGTGCCGCCCAGGCCAGAGCCCCTTGTGCTGGGATCACGGCGGCCGACCCGTCCATCAGCTGCGTTAGCTGCCAGTCGTACCCTTGCCCTCTGGCTGTACGCGTGCCAGCGCCAGCTTTCTGTAGACGGCTTGACCCGCGACACACCCAGCCTGCTCTCTCAAGACAGCTGCAGTCAGCGGACAACGGAGACCTCCACATCGTGGATGCTCACGCTGCAACAAACCCCACACGGATACCGCCCCCCTCCTCAGGCCACGGACAACCTCAATCAGAGGATCCACGTCATCGCCCCCGGGAGGACCAACACGGAGGGCCTCACCCTGTCGGCAACCGGCACCGGCGGCACAGTGAAGCGCCAGATCATCTGCTCAGGCGGCGGTGAGCTGCGGCCGCACGATGATTGATGGTTGTTGGAGTTGCTGCCAAGCGCTAGCCCTGGCCATGACACTTGGGCGGGGCCGCTGGCGGTCTCTGAGCCCTACACACGCCTAACCGCCTGCAGCTTGGTGTTTGCAACTCATTGGAAAAATGCCCCTGAAGCTTCCAGATCTGGTGCCCTGCTGCAAAGTGCCTGCACCAGAGCTCTTGCATCAGGATGCAAGAGCGCCAACACTCACGCGCGCGGCTGGCCATGGCAGGGGCTGTGGCAACCCTCAAAATGTCGCTCGCAATGTCCCATGGCGCGGTCCACACCCGCGCCTGCCTGTGCGCATTCAGGTGCAACAGATTGCATCCGCCCACCGCTTCCCCTCCCAGGTGATGGCTGCCACGGCGCCGTGGCAGTGAGAATCCGAAGGCTAGTGGCAAGGGTATCAACTAGGCTTGCGACTTCGTGAGTACTCCTCAGACCTGCTGGGATAAGGCGTCCAGTCCATCGCAAAGCCCAACGGCCCTGCAGAGTGTGTACTGCGCGCGTGTAGTCAGGTGTCACCTCTTCAGCTTGATGCCTGCGCTTACGGCGGCGCCTGAATTCCTTGCCGTTCACGGCTGTTGGACCGGCCTGATGTACATACATGGGGGTGTTGGGTGGTTGGTGGTATGCGCGCGCAGCCAGCGGGCACCTGTGCACTTGCCTGACTGCGGCATATATTATATCATGATACAGGGGCAGGGGTTGGATGGTCAATCCTGAAGTCGTACTAATAGTTTGGTTTTATGGCTTGCCATGTGTGGCGCACACCGCGAGCTTGTGTGTTGGGTTCACAGCTGTGCGTTGTTACCTCTCACACTAGGCCAGATCCTCTGGATGTTGCAAGGAAGCGTCCCAGTCTTTTGATGCTGCGAGAAATGCGTGTAAAAAGCGCTGCCAGCCCACTGAACATGTCGCTTTCCTGCTTGTTAGGCAGCCAGCCAATCGCAAGGCGAGGTGCTCCCAAGTTTCCCCCAAAGTAGGTGCCTATTAAACGCCTATTGGAGAGACCTGATCCTGCGTACAGTGGCCGATCCCCCTGGTTGTGGAAAGCTTCGCCGGAAGGCAGCGATCAAGTCCACCGGGCTCCAATGTAGTCAGGGCTACCTGCACAGCAGGCCTGGGGAGGTGTGGTGTAGCAGGGGGCGACCGAGGTGAGTGCAGGCTTTCAGGGGTGGGTGCGAACGGAGGGCCGCGTTGGGTAGACCCACGGGGCGGAGGGCGACATGCATTGTGAGGACCTTGGATGTGCTCTAAAAGCATCAAGTCTGCAACTGTACAGGGCACCTAACAGATTTTGTCCAGTTCAACCAACCGCTGTTGTGAACCCTTTCCTCGGACCCGTGGTACTAAACCTCGAACTCCGGGCTCTGGATTACATTAAAAGCCCGCTCTTCGCGTGATTTCGGGAAATTCGTCCACGAAGCCGTCGTTGTCTGAGCTTCTTAGAGTCTTCACGGCCCGCGCCCTCTACATCCCGCATTATGGCTCGCGCTCGGACCGCGGTGGTGCTGCTGGCGGTGCTGGGCCTGCTCGCGGCCGGCGTGCACGCCGCGCCCCCCTCAAGTGGCAGCACTGGCACCCTTGACCTCACGCAACAGTCCTCAGTGAGTGCGCAGGGCCCCGCGCGCCTCGGCCCCACCTGCTTTGACAGCAGCACAGCAGAGCTGCGGCCGGTGTGGCGGCCTTGGCCAGCTGCCCAGTCTGCCTCGCCCCTCGAAGGAGTTCACCCCGAAATGCATCCTGCCTGCTGTACACTGTGGTCCAACCCCTCACCTGCGTTCTCATCTGTACGCAGGGGGCGGACACGACCAACCAGAGGGTGCGGGTGATGTCCAAGACAGGCACAGTGACGGGATCCATCACCCAAGATGCCGTCGTGAGTTGCTGGCAGAGCCTCGCTCCCCCTGCCTGTATGTGGCGCCCAGGCCCCGGCCCGACTGAATCTGGCAACACGACGGGAACTATCAAATGGCCTGCTGTTCTGCCGTCGCTGCGCATGACGACGCCAGTTTTGCGCAGGTCTGAATCGACGCGCTGTGCAGCCAGCGCGCGCGCCGCCCGTTCGCGTTGCGACGCCCACCATGTGTCGCCTGAATTTGCAAAAGCCCCGGCTAGCTGCCGCCCCTCACCACCTCGGGTCCATGCCCCTCCCCCCCAAACTTACGGACTCTCCAGCAGTGGCAGTCACATTGATTATGAGTGTCACCAGAGTCTTTGCCTGCTACACGTACACGTGGCCTGACCCCATATCTATGGTCTTGACGACTCCTCACCCCTCCCAGGCCAACGACCGCCTGAAGCAGAAGATCTTGGTCGTCGCCCCCGCGCGGGCCAACACCGAGGGCCTCACCCTGTCGTCCACCGGCACCGCCGACAAAGTGCAGCGCAACATCGTCTGCGCGGGCGGCGGTGAGCGACTCGGGAGGCGTGAACGTATGGGTTTTCCTGAGAGAGAAAAGGCTTGTTTGAGGCCTCCAAGATGATCTGTCGGCTCCCTGGGCAGCGGGGGACGGCTGTCGGAGCCTCGGCTGCATCTGCGGCTTGCTGTGGCTGGCACGCCGCTGCTTGCAGTTTGGTGATTCCTCGTTTTTTCACGCTTGACGCGACCATGCGCTTGACAAATGTGCCATAGGAGGCCAGCGAGGCTGGCTCACAGGCAATGTGTGCCCGAGAAGGGTAATCCCTCCCCCGTCCTCATCGATCACTGCAGCTGTCTAGGAGGCGCAGGCATCCGGCACAATCAGGACGTGCTACGCAGGGGGCTGAGCACCTTAATCTCGCATCCCCTTTGCCGTCACAGTGATGCTTACTCATGCCTGCACACGCGCCTTGCTGAACCTTCCGGAACCCGCCCCGACGGCCCCGCACCACGCAGGCGACGGCTGCCGCGGCACGGAGTGAGGGCTGCCGTTATTCATGCTTCAACGTACAGCTCAGGGGCCAAGCGCTGTCCCTCAAGCTTCCCCTACTGTCAGGGGCCGGCCCTTCCTGATTGTCCTGGTCCGACTACTGGGCCCCCGCCAGGCGCTTGACATGTGGAGCTCACATTTCTGCACCCACTTTTGGCAGCTTCGATTGCACGCAGGCGGTGGCCTGCATGCCTGCCGTGCCAAACGCTGTTGTTGGTGCGCTGGGCATCCCCGTTTCTTCGAAGGCAACGCCGAAATTTAAACGGCCGGCCCCCTGCCCAAAAGCTGGTTCAGATGTTGATTCATGCTGTTGTGGCACCTGAATTGCTCTCTTGACAGTAGCTGCCGCAATACACAGGTGTTATTATCTCTGGGTTCATGCGTGCATACAGCCTACATCCTGTAAAAAACCGATCCCAGGGAAGGGCTGGAACAGTGACAGGGATTAATTACTGCCTTCATAAAGGTATGGTGCGACCAGACGGTCAAGCACACGCGTGCATGGTTTGTCACGACTTACGCCTGGCTTACGTAATGGTAGACGTGGTTGTGGTGCCACCACAATCCCCCGCTCTATCTGAAACAGCTGTGTACAAAAAGGACCAGTTTATACAATTCTTGCATGGGCAGCCAGGGATGTGGATCCGCAAAAACACACAAAACAAGGGATCCTCAATACGTGTTGACAAGTCGAACCCGCCAGCCAACACGACGGACATGGCAGTCCCAGGAGCCAGGCCCCAACAAACATGCGGCGGCACGTCCCCCGGCTGCCCGCCGCGCGCTTTCACCCCGGCGGCGGCGCGAGCTCCCCGCCCTCGGTCGCCGCGTAGTAATCCTCCCCCTCCCCCTCCCCCTCGTC